CAGCCATGGTGGTCTGGCAGCCAGTTGTTCACAGACCAGACTGGCAACTGGGAACTGCTGATCTAGATCAGTGTTTCTCAACCAGTGGTATGAGTACCCTTAGGGGTACTCGAGAGAAGTCTGGGGGGAGGGGGGGTACATCAACTCAACTGAAATTTGGAGAAAACTGATTTTTTTTTTTTAGTTTTACAGCGCTTTATTGTTTTTGTACTTTTTATACCCAAACATTTCATCACCCACCTGGCTCTGATTAAGTTGTTTAAACAAACGTGTTGCCATGGTAGAAAAAAAAAGTTGTGTCTGAAAACTGTAGGTACTGGGGGTACTTATACACTTTTTTTAAAGGGGTACTTTATTAAAAAAAAAAAAAAAAGTTGAGAAATACTGGTCTAGATCATCCCTGATAGATGTCTATCGAACTTGATCTTAAATATCTCCAGTACTGGAGATTCCACAACATCCCTAGGCAATTTATTCTGGCATTTAACCACCCTGACAGTTAGGAAGTTTATCCTAATGTCCAACCTTAACCTCCCTTGCTGCAATTTAAGCCCATTGCTTCTTGCCCAATCATCAGAGGCCAAGGAAAACAATGTTTCTCCCTCCTCCCACTAACACCCCTTTAGATACTTGAAAACTGATATAATGTCCCCTCTTTTCCAAACTAAATAAGCTCGGTTCTTTCAGTCTTCCTTCATAGCTCATATTTTATAGAACTTTAATAATTTTGTTGCTCTTCTCTGGACCTTCTCTAGTTTTTCCACGTTTCTTGAAATGCGGTGCCCAAAACTGGACACAATACTAATCAGTGCAGAGTAGGAGCAGAAGAATGACTTCTCCTGTCTTGCTCACAACACTCTCGTTAATGCATCCCAGAACCGTGTTTGCTTTTTTCGCAACAGTTTCACACTGATGACTCATTTAACTTGTGGGCACTATGACCCCTATATACTTTTCTGCAGTACTCTTTCCTAGACAATCACTTCCCATTCTGTATGTGTGAAATTGATTGTTCCTTCCTAAGTAAGTGGAATACTCTGCATTTGTTCTCATTCAACTTCATCCTACTTACCTCAGACCATTTCTCTAGTTTGTCCAGATCATTTTGAATTATGACCCTAGCCTCCAAAGCACTTGCAACCCTTCCCAGGTTTCAATTTAAACTACAATATAGAATACAAAGTATACAGTGCTTGCTTTATTTTTATTTTGGTAACAAGTATTTGCTTTGTAAAAAAAATATTTTCAGTTCCTCATACAAGTGCAGTGGTGCAATCTCTTTATCATGAAAATTGAACTTACAAATGTAAAATGTAACAAAAACCCCTATATTCAAAAATAAAACCATGTAAAACTTTAAGTCTGCAAGTCCACTCGATCCTACTTTTTGTTCAGCCAATCACTGACAGACAAATTTGGTTACAATTTGCAGGAGATAATGCTACCTCCTACTTCTTTACAATGTCACCTGAAAGTGAGAACAGACATTTACATGGTGCTGCTGTAACCATGATAGATGCTATAAAGATTTATATGTTCCTTCATCCTTCAACCACCATTCCAGAAGACATGCTTCCATGCTGATGAGGTTCTGCTTGATAACCATCCAAACAGAGCAGACTGACACATGTTCATTTTCATCATCTTTATCAGATGCCATCAGCAGAAGGTTGATGTTCTTTTTTTGGTGGTTCAAGTTCTGTAGTTTCTGCATCAGCATGCTCCACGCCTTGTTTCTCTCAGATTTTGGAAGGCACTTTAAATTTTAAACCCTGGGTTGAGTGCTGTAATTATTTTTAGAAATCTCAAATTGGTACCTTTTTGTGTTTTGTCAAATCTGCTGTGAAGGCATTCTTAAAATGAGTATGTATTGGGGGATGCCTCCAAGACTGCTATTACATGAAATATATCACAGAACGTGGGTTAAACACAGTAGGAGACATACAGTTCTCTTTCAAGAAGCTTGGTCACAAATTTAATTAACACTTTTTTTTAAAACTAGCATCATCAGCATGGAAGCATGACCATGAATGGTGGCTGAAGCATGAAGGGGCATACGAATGTTTAGCACATCAGGCAGCAAACACTACAATGCTAGCTACAAAAGTGCCATATGCAGGGCTCGACAAACTGCGGCAAAATCCACCTGGCAGATCCGCACTGTGCATGCGCGCACCACCAGTGAATGGGGCGACCGGCTGAAATCTACCTGCCACGGGCAAGTAGATAAACAGATTTGTCAAGCCCTGGCCATACGAATGCCTGTTCTCACTTTCAGGTGATAAGTTAAATAAGAACCAGGCAGTACTATCTCCCATCAAAGTAAACAAACCCTGTTTGCCTTCGTGATTAGCAGAACAAGAAGTAGGACCGACTGGACTTGTAGGTTCTAAAATTTTACATTTTTTTGGTTTTGAGTGCAGTTATGTAACCAAAAAAAAAAACCTAACTACATTTGTAGTGTTACACTTTCATGATAAAGATATTGTACTACAGGACTTGTACGAGGTGAACTGAAAAGAAATAGTATTTCTTATTTTCACAGAGCACATATTAGTAATCAAAATAAATAAATGAGCACTGTATCCTTTTTCTTGTTGTAATTGAAATCAATATTGAAAATATAAAAAACTTCACAATATTTAATACATTTCAGTTGATATTCTATTGTTTAACAGTGTGATTAATCATGAATTTTTTTAAATTACAATATTTTTGAGTTACTCATGAGTTGACTGATTAGTTGACAGCACTAATTTAAAATTAAACATTTAATGTAAAGCTAATTTTTAGAATTGAGGAGAACGGTATAGAATTAAAGATGATTATCAGTTTGATATGGAATTGTTATCATAATATGTTTGGAAAACAAACAAAAGATTTAAAAAACGGTCCATACTTTGGGGCATGCTTTGATGATCTTATCTTTAAAATTTATTCTAAGAAAGGAAAAAAGTAGGTAAATTAAAACATGAGAGGAAAATATCTTGAATAACTTTCTGATGAGAAGAAACTTATTTTCTGTGTTTCACAAGATGGGGTAAATTTATTCTTTGCATATATGTAGCATATTATACTCCTATGGCAAATTTGTGTTCAAATAAGTTTGGTATTGTAACTAATGACTTAATACATTTATATAATAGTTATAGCAGTTCCTTCCTGGTGTTTGAATCAACTACTAAGTAACCTGAGTGTATTTAAGAATCAACACTTGTTTTCCACCCTGACTGAATTCAAGAAGGAAACCATGGGATAGGTCACTAACACCAAAGTTTGGATCATGAAATCATCTGCCCCATATGCAAGTCAGTTGACACGGATAACCATGTGGAATTAGGAAATGTTTATTGGACAAATTTGATTTGAAGACTACCAAATCTCTATAAATATGTATGTTTTCTGTAATACAGATCGGCTACCACATTTAAAAAAATAATTGTTTTATACAGTGAGTATATACATTTATTTATGTTACAGCAAAACTAGCAACAATATTTAATTTGGACAGACATAGATACCATATTGGGTTGCTTACAGTATTCGGGAAGGTAAAAGGTTAGGGACAGACCATCGTCAGCTGCATTCCTTGGTTGCTTACAGTATTCGGGAAGGCAAAAGGTTAGGGACAGACCATCGTCAGCTGCCTGCAACAGTAGTACAGGAATGGCACGCTGATATTGCTCACTGAGATTATACCGTTTAAACATAAATACATTTTTTTCAGAGAATTTTCAGTGACAGGAAAATTAGCTCCTAAAAAGAACTAATCTCTCTATATACATAATTTTTTTTCCGGTGGGGTGACTGAGTGATGTCATTACATCACAGCTTCCACAGGCTGGGAGGCACAGGCATGGGCAGGTAAAGCCCAGCCCTGCCCAGGCCCCATCCCTGGAGCCATGCCCCACCCACTGCAAGCCTGGCCTTCTCTGGCGGCCACGTGGAGAGCCAGGGCTGATGTGCTGCAGCCTCAGCCTTCTCTGGCTGCCCGCAGGCAGGGCCAGGCCTGGCAAGCCGCAGCCTCAGTCTTCCCTGACTGCCAGGGGCAGAGCTGGGCCTGGAGCGCTGTGGCCTTGGCCTTCCCCAGCTACAGAGGGCAAAGCCGGGCCTGCAGCGGCCACAGCCAGGGGGGCAAGGAAAAACTGGGGCTAGTGCAGCTGCAGCCCCTCCCCAGAAAGAGTCAGCGTTGCCTACCCCCAAAGAGAAGAGGGTTGGCGAATGTAGCTAGCAGACGGCGCAGTCCCTTAATTTTCTTTTATTAATAAAGTAGATACTTCTTCAATAGTTACTAAAATGGTGGGAGGTATCCTACGTTATATATGTTTATAGTAGACTCTAGAGTAAACTGCAATCACAGGCAGAGTGGGATAAGCTACAATAGACTAAGCGTTAGCAATGTAGGAGTGGTCTGGTCATGTTCCCCCATAACGCTGAATATTTCCATCACATAACTGTGGGATGGGATTAACAGTAGCAGGGTAGTACCACTGGACATAAACTAGATTTCCAAATTGCCTCTTCAGACTACATTATATCACTTTCCACAGTTTGTGTATGCATAATTAAGCAAAAAAGCCAGTGGATAGCAATGAGAAGGCGTTCAGCTTCATGGTCTTCTCCATCCTTCTGTGTAAAGGCTGCCTGTCAAAAGTGAGCTCTTGCTGCCTATACTGTGATAACACTGAACATTCATGTACTGGCTCAGATGCAGCACTGGGAAGATTTTTAAAGGGAACGAGGAGAAGATTTGGATTTTGACAAGACTATCTAACTGAAAATATACAGGAAAAAAAGCCCTATAGAAAAAGTTCTCTCTTTAAAATTAGTATTCATTCTCAAAGAAAACACACCACAAGGAAGAGTGGCTGTACACTGCTACTCATTTTAGTGTTACTAAACATTTAACGGGATAATGAAAGTTGTATCTTTGTATTTAGTTCCTTTCTTTAATTTACATTTGTCCAATTAAAGCTTTTGTAACTACCAAACACGTGTGTATGTGTATATGGACAAAAACTTTAATTACATGGATTCTTTTCTAAAGAACAAAGAAAATGTGAGAACTAGTATTGCATTAAATAAAATTCATGAAGATCATACAGAAGGAAAAAGTTGTGTTAAGGTACTTAATTTTGCTTTTTCACCAAGTTCTGGTCTTAAAGGTTTTCTATCTTTAAGAAGTCATATTTATTACATTTTAAATCAGTCCTATCACGAGGCATAGCAATTTTACTTTCAAAGCCTCCAGGTCCAGACTTTCTGCTTCTTGAGTTAAACCAAATCACTCTGTATGTTACTGATTTACAAATGCCACTTTAGTATTTTATACATAGTTATTCAATTACGTACAGCTTTAAGTTTAACTTATGACCTATAATTGTTTATAATGTATTTGGATAAAGCAGGAGCCACCTTTATGCACAAAAGTTGGTATGTAAAAAACCAAAAACTGGCATTCTTAATGATGCCCATGCATTTTAGGCACTTAATTCCATTATGACTCAGTAGGATTCTGTCATCTAAATCAGGCTCACCTTAAAAAAAATGTCAGCCAAAACCTAGCACATTTAAAGAGTCTGAAACCACAAACAGGGGAAATGAGCCTGATTTGGACAGTTTTGAAAAATAATATTCAGTTAATTGAGATTCCACTGTAATCTCATTAGATTACCACACAAATGCAGCTCTCTCACGTAACATCCGGACACCAAAGCGTTGCCATTCTCGCTGATATATCCATAGTTCCTGGGTTGTATCCAAGCAGGCCAAAACTGCACCCCCTTTCCATGCAATCAAGCGTGGATCCATATCCTACAATTAAGAACAAGGATTTCATAAAAACTCCAGACTTGATTTTCAAAGATGCTCAACATGGCAGCACCCATTTAATTAAATGACAGTTCATTCAGCACCTTTGAAAATCAGCCCAACAATTTCCCCCAAAGTTTGTGTGTGATAAACCCAAGTATTTCCCTCACGTTTATTTTATTAAGGAACTTTGAAGTCACTAATTTCATCATGTGTCAACTTTTTACTCTTTCTAGTAAAAATTATTTAAAAAGGGAATATTTTTGGCTTTTTTTAAGTTTGGCTTTAAAAGTTTAGACGATTAATGCCAAATATTATTTACACTCAGTACTATGCATCCTCTTATATTTCTCACCCTTCCTTCTTTGTAACGCTAACTCAAGTTATTGACAAGGAGAAAGGATGAGTTATCTTTTTACCACATTCCTTATGTCCACTATAAGTGTCTTTTCCTAAAAGTAACTTTACTAGATGTTAGTTAAGTAGTACTTCTATAAGGCATGTAATGGAACTATGACAGCACTGAAACAATAAATTTTTAAACCTTTAGATTCCAAACAGTTAAATACAGTAGTTCATAATTCAGCTTCATTAACATCATACCTTAGGTCTTGTAATGACTTCTACATTTTCAACAACTCTTCTGAAAGAAGGAGGCATTTTATTGAGAATTCGGTGCTGAAGAAATTCTTGAGCTTTATGAAACATCAGACCTCCTCCCACTACTAGGATAGAACTATACATCTTCTTTTTGGTATCATCAGATGCTGGAATGATATGATATATACAAAAACTGAGTACTACCTAAATTTGGATTATAAAGAAGTGTGTAAAAATCAAATTAATTAGGACTACTGAAAGTTATTATAAAAGCAACCACTTACAGCATGAAGATAGTTAATGAAAATGGGCTTTCACGAAATACTAGAGATGAGAGACAGTATAACAACTTTATTTTCTAAACAACAAAGCTAAAGGAAACAACTCTAGTTTCTGTAAGGTAATGAAAGATGTTGGAAATTGGTATGAATCTGGACTGATTGACTGGGATCTAATTACAGGATTATGCAAATATAGTTCTTACCACAGCAATCAATACTATGAAGAATGGCTTTGTCAAGGCCTAGTGCTTTGCCTTCAAACTGAGATATAGCGGTTTTCCTGGACATGTGTGCTGCTAGGGGTTCTTCAGACTCATTTCCAGCTATTAGACAATCACTCTGAGATGATCCCAGTTCCACTTCTTGAGGATACATCCTCTCTGAAATGTCTGAGGACTGGCCACGCAAGTCTCCCTCATATCCACCAGGCTTGGACATGGACTTCCTATCAGCTGTAGCTTTCGCAGACTTAAAAAACAAAAAAAAAGAAGGTAAATTAACTTTATTAATTAAAAAAATTCATTTCAAATCCTTGCAGATTGCTTTTGGCACAGGACCAATGCTCCAAAGACTCACTTAATAAATAATATAGCACTAATTTTACTTTTGCTTAACAAAAAGAACTTTTGAATGTTGCATTTTCACTCCATACAAGTATTATTCCAAGCCACAACTTTAAAAAAAAAAATTTCAAGTTCAACAAACATCTGAATGAGTATCATAGCATAAAGTCATAATATAGTTTCCACAAATATAGAAGTTTTATCTATGGGCTCGTTTACTCATAGTTAAAGCAATACAGCAATACAACCCCTTACTGTGGGCATAGTTATACTTGTATAAGAGGTGCTTATATTAGTTTAATTAGGCCCCAGGTAGATAGTGTTTGGTCAATGGATGAATTCTCCTGTCGATCTAGCTGCTCTGGGGCCTAATTAAACTAACAGCAGAATCCCTTCTGTTAGAATAGATAGCTGCAGGACTACAGTATAGACATTATGCCACCATAATGTAGACAAGCTGCAGAATCCCTTCTGTTAGCATAGATAGCTGCAGGACTACAGTATAGGCATTATGCCACCATAATGTAGACAAGCTATTATTCTCATTACATTTTCTAAACTCATATAGTTTGAATAGTACAAAACCTGTGTAGAGTTGCCTTAAAACAATACAAAATCCTATACATCTGCCTGTTATAAATCTGTAAATTTTTTATCCCATATAAGTTTAACAATAGTTAGAGGACTTGTGTACATTTTTATTACCATTATTAAGTAATATTTATGAAGCGCTCCAAGTACTGTATAATTTCAATTATTTGTAATTCACTGTAAACAGGTTTTTAGTAAGTCATTGTGAAAAATAAATAAATGGGAGATTTCATTTACTACAAAAAATATTTGTTGAATGTTTCTACTACTCAAATCAAGAGTGACATTTAGCACATAATTACAAAACTAACCTTTTATTATTATTATTATTATTATTACAAAGCATGTTAAAAGTATTGCCCTTCAGATGAAATGTAAAGTTAGAGATCCTGACTAGGTGAAGTTGATAAAAAATACCACGGCAATTTTTGCAAGACTGCGAGCTTCCGTGTTCTGGCTAAATTCTAAGACGGGCAATTAAATTTTGGTCCATTTTGCTGCCTCCATAGTTTTTAGTGGACAACTTATTCTTTCCTGCCTAAAACCTGTTTCTGTAATTGTTTGGACATAGAACAGAAGCCATCTCTCAACTGCTTTTCAATGGTAATGAAACACAACATGGAGCAATTATCTTAACTTTGGGGTAAATGGTAGTTTTCTATGAAAACTAACAATGAACACACCTGCTCTTGTTTACTCTGGGTAGCTAACAAATAATGTTCATCATGAGGATCCTCTGGGTCACCTTGTGATCTGTGTTGCAAAGATGTCATTTTCTGCCCTACAATTCCAAACGTTGCTGGATAAAACAGAGCCATTGGAGCCTATGTAGTAAAAGATGGAAAAGTGTTAATACAATGTTCTGTATAAACAAATACTTTTCAAGTTTGATGTTTGTTAACAAATATTCTTTTTTTTTTAAAAAAGCCTAATTTTATTGGATTTACAATTAAGAAGTACAAATATTCTTTTTTAAAAAAAAAAGCCTAATTTTATTGGATTTACAATTAAGAAGTATCTCATGCCTTAGAATCAACAGAATACTACTTTTTACAAATAACCTTTTAATAGGGAGAAGTATCTGAGTTTTATTTTAAACTGAGTTGTAAACCATTACAAAAACACACGCATGAACACATTTTATGTATTTTAAATGTGACATCAGACTGTTATCAAGTGTTCATTAGCATAAGTGTGTTAGAAAAAGTCACAGTAGTGAGAGATGAAAAAACCTGATAGATCAGCATTCAAGTGTAGAATGTAGGTCCCTAGATAGGAGGAGATGTCAGACATTTAATTGCTATTATACTTCATCTTAGCCACAACCCAGAGAGGTAATGAGGTGGTCACCAATGATATGAATACACCTATCTACAGCAAATTGATTTTAACAGCATTTTATAGGGAACATCCACTATAGGGAACATCCACTAAGCTATGATACAGAAAGAGGCAGCTTAGTAAAGCATTCCATGGAGTGGTGGGCAATGGGGCATATGCTGTGGGAGGATAGTGATAGACATGCAGCCTCCATATGTTATTGCCAGATGCTGGGAATGGGAGACAAGGGATGGATCACTTGATTACCTGTTCCATTCATTCCCTCTGAAGCACCGGGTATTGGGCCGTGTCAGAAGACAGAATAGTGGGCTAGATGGACCACTGGTCTGACCCAATATGGTTGTTCTTAAGTATTTATTATTGCACACATACATTTTGAATGTACCTGTAGTTTTTCATCTCCTAATCGGAACTGGTATAATAAGGCTGGAGAGTCTGGATGGCGAATCTGGAACTCATGGTCTTGCAGTCCAGAAATATCCTATTTTAACAGAATATACCAACAAAGATGTTCAATTCTGTACAGTCTTTTAAAAGTTTTTATCTCAAAGCTTTTTACTTGAATGCATCAAGACAAAAAATAATGAAACAACAAAATATTGAAGTTAATCGAAGAAATTTCAAAAGGTTTCTGCAGTCATCTCTGAAGAACAAGTAAACATCAACATACATTCATGTTTTAAGTACAGGCCAAACTGTAAAAAAAGCAATGTAGTGTGTGTTATGAGTCATTCCTCTAAATTATAAAGTGGCTACACCAACCCCTCTTCTTTTCAAAGGAAAATCTCTGCTGGTGTTTTTCATCCCAGGAAAAAGATGTGCAGTTGAAAGTGTTTTAAATATTTGTTGACTATTTAAATGTTAAAACGGCAAACACCTTTTGAGCTGTATAAGTATAAATATTTTGTATTTATATGCAGGCATTCATGTAATAACTGCCTGATATGCAGGAATAGTAAAATGTTTTATGCACAAACATAGTAAGGTAATTTGATGTTACAATTGGATAATAATGTTAGAAGGCTTTTATCTATATATTAATGAGGAATGAATAATTCATTACTAATAATTTGCAAGCAAATCCTCTCCCAAAAAAGAAAGATAATAATCATTCCAAAAACTGTCATGTAGAATCAACAACTTAAGCATAAGAATTTTTCCCCACCTGGTCTAAATGACAAAATGTCTCTTTTAAGTGCTGAAGGAGTAAGCAGTCCATTTTATTAGTTAACTGACAATCCTTGTAAGGAAATCCAGCTCGCTGCATAAGCCAGTAAAAACATCTTGATACATCAGACCCTCCATACGCAAGACACAACCTAAAACAAAGAGAAAGAGACAGATGAACATTATTCATATTGCCCAGATAACATGTATCAGCCTAAAAAGGAACATGTACGATATTGTGCTCATGATGTTCATGTCGTTTGCCTGGCCCATAGAGATTGTTCCTGCTCTCTTTACAGCAGTAAAAACACTCTAATATAGATAATATGGCATATGCGCCTGTTGTGAAAATCATAAGTATTAAACCAAAAAACAATCAGTTACATTCATAAGATGTTGTTCTTATGTATAAAAACAAGTAGTGTATGATAAAATATTTCTAAATGGAAATTCTGTGTAAGCTGTGCAGCTATTTTCTGAGCCCCGCACAGTGTCTTAGCTGACTGGCGGGGGGAGGGGCACCTCACTAAGCAGCAGCTTCAAATGGAGCTGTGTGCACTTGAAATGAAGGAGCTCTCAGAACAGGTAAGGAGGTCTCTTTCACTTGTTCTTGTATTGCATGGATCCTAAACACTCCCCAGAGAAACTGTATAAGCCTTAGTGAATGCATTTTACTCTCCCTTCCTGTGTCAGTAAATATTATATTAGTCATGCTCTCCTTTCAAATACTATTTCTAGTTGACTCATAGATTTGTTTAGCATTTTAAAGCTGAGCTATGTGTGGATAATATGCATTTTGGTGTGTTTACTAGTTATAGTTGTTAGAAAGGATGATGATACATGCACTCCAGTGTAGTGTTAATTTTCTTTATGTAATTTCATATTAAATATCATAAGTATTACTCCTCGTTAACTATCCCTTGTGTTAATATTTTCTTTCACCCTTATGGACTGTAGTATATATATAGTGCTTTTTTTGTTTAAAAAAAAAAAAAAAAAAAAAGGTGCCAGTACTCTTTAAGACCCAGCCTTCAGCCATTTTCAGTACAGAGGTGCTGATACTCTCTGTTCTTTCCAGGTAAGTTCTGACTGGAGGTGCCTGCATACTGGGTAGTACCATCACAAAAAAAGGAGAGACAGAGAGAGACAGAGAGTGTGTGTGTGTGTGTATAAACACACACGGTTTTTGTTTGAATTGATGGTGCACATGCACACACTACCTTAACATTGGTGTTGCACATAAAAAATTTTAACCCATCCAAAAGAAAATTCAACTCACTCAAAGGACAGAAAATATTAGAAGGAACACTGATACCTACCCCACCAGCATTAGCGATTTTTGTAATAATTTTGCTCAAAGAAAAATTACCGGGTGTTACGATGTGAAACGCCATCCTCTACACAGCAAACACTTGTCTTCTGATCCCCTACATCTACTATACATGCACTACTTAAGCCACTTCCAAAAGTAGCACAGACAGACTCCTGATGGACCACTATACCTAAAAAAAAAAAAAAGAGGAAGATTAAGTCTGGTTTTAAACCAAGCTCCAGACATTTAAATAAATAGATATTTTTTAAAATTTACTATACAAAAACTAAATAACACTGAGGTCCTAATGCTTAATTAAAAGTTTAAATTGTGCAAAAATAGTCACATTGCCAGGAAAAGTTTTCACCTTCCCACTGGTAAAGAGATCTTTTAAGCCTTTATCTTAGAAGAAATAACTTAAGGGTGAAGTAGAAATCTATATTGAAAGTTTCCTTGCTTTTATGGGTTTAGGGAAGTATCAAGACCTAATTGTAGTGGGTATTAACAGGCTTCAATTACTAGTAGCAGGCTATGATACTTTGGGGTTCAACAAAGACCAGTAGGGAGTCATGTCACTGAATGCCCTGCAATTCTGAGTGTCTTAAGTACTATGCTGCTGTGGTTCACAGCCCTGCACCAACCCAGTTACTTTTTGCAGGGTGAGCCCAACATTTCCTGTGCGCCAAATTTCCCCACCCAGTTGTGCCTATTTCTCCTGGAACGCTCATAGAAGTTAAGTTTTCTACTTTAAAAAAGAAAGTAAACAGCAGCTCATTTAATTATTTTTGAGAAACTTATTTTAATCAAAGCACTGCACTGATTTCTAGTAAAACATTTGATAACAAATACCCATAAGTTTAAGTGATATCAAATAGAAGGAATAAGGATAGAAATGGTTACAAACAAATGTAAAAAAAAAATAAAAATCAGGAACTTAAAATCTTTGCCTAAGCTGTTTTCTCACCTATACTCAGATCCCAGAGACTTCAGCCCTCTTAGCTGAAAGATCCAAAATTCTATGATTTCATAAACTCTGGTCCCTATAGTTTCTCAAGTGATAGATGCTCTCTGTCCTTGCTTATATCTTCCAAAATTCAGTTACCTTGCTTCAGAGACAAGAAGCCATGCTGGAGTCCAGCTTGCTGTGTCCATGAGAAAGCAGTTAGCTTTTTAACTTATCACAATGAGAAAAATTATCTAACCCACTTGCTAGTTTGATGGCTATGTATTTTTCTCATTGTGATAAATTAAAAAGCTATCTAACCCACTTGCTAGTTTGATGGCTATGTTTATCTTATATGTAAATGTACCTTCATTGTCCCTTCCGGACAATCTGACTAGTAAGACACACAAATATGTATTTCTTTATTAAAGGCTGACTAGGTTTATGCAGTGCTTGCTAAAGACATTAGAATATAATTTTAACACATATGTGTAACTCTTGTAACCAGCATATAACCAGCATGCATATGATCCTAAATATGACACCTTTTAAGACACTGATTACGACAGAAATGAATTGGGTACACTGAATATGTTAAGGCCTGACACAGGCTAATGGGTCTCTGTCACCAAGGGAAGGCATTTTTCTCACGTTTGATTTTAATACAGTCATTTCCGTTAAAGTTTTGAATAAGTTATTTAAATGGATAAGCAAGATTTGATACCATGCTTTGACATTTCCCCTACAACCCACTTTCAACGTTCACAAACACTTGCTTCATGTATATACCAAAGACATGCACTTTCCTTTAAAGAGTACCAAAGAAAGATTCTCTTCAAATCCTGTTCTTCTAAACACTAAAGGAAGACAATTGCTCATTTTAGGCAAATAGTTTGTAGAACAATAAATAAAGAATAACTGAAATGTAAATCTTTTAAATAGATGACACTGGACATTTAGAAGTTACATTCAGTAATTAGTTTAGCTTAGCACCGAGTTAATGTTTAGGAATAGCACCCTCCAATGGAGATGCTGATAATATTTTAAAAGTCCAATCTTTCATACTTGTGCACCTTCCCATACTCTGTTTAATCTGGCAGATTTAGCCAAACAAAAATTAAAAATGGAGGCTTTAATTTTTTATACATTGTCATCAAACAGGCTTAAAGGAACAGGAAGAGAGTTTGGAGGAATTGAAACAATGTCTTTTTCAGCCTCTTGCATTTTGATACTTTTTCCTTTATTCACAGCAATGTGGACATATGTCTTTATAGTCAAAGAAATAAATTTTTAAACTTTTAATTTAAATTTTTAATGAGTATTTTCCTCATCAGTGTAATCCTAAGAGTAAGACTATCCAACCAAAAGCTGCAGGTATGAGTTAAGACACCTGCAAAGTGATGAAGGGGCCTAATTGTCTAGCTCACCTTAAAAAGCAGTAGCAAATTTTATTAATATATGTAAATAAAAGATGCTCTCTCTTCTGCTGGTGACTCTTCCCACCTACTTAAATCTTTCCAACAGAACATCTCTTCCTTTTGTCATATGAATTTTCTTTTGTCAGATATAGAAAAGGCTAAGCAAGTTCACACTACTGGTGTCCAGCAAGGAAGAGGAAACTGTCGCTATGAGAATGCTCAGGAATAATAGACAATAAAGGATATTAAACATAAAAGGCATACAAGGATATATATGATCTAATGCAGGTGCAGGGTTAAAATTCTCTTGCATTTTGAGAGCCCAACAATAGGGACTCCATGCTGGCCACCCTTCGTCTCCCTCCTTTTCTCGTTTTGGTGGGAAATCCTACAGACACGCGATCAAAGTCTGCCTGGTAACAACAGGATACTTAAGGGCTGCCTCTGGCTTTGCCCTGGGGGCTGCCCATCTTTGTAGCAGAGTGCAGGGTCATTTAGATGGGTATGTCATGGTCCACGCTTGTTAGGTTTGGGGTTGAGAGGGGCACACTCGCATGCGAGGAGTGACATTCATGGTCACTCCTTCCTGATCAGGACTTACTTGCACCCACAACGACGCAGGGAGAAGGGGCTCATAAGGTATTAGGCCAAACGGATCCAGACAGAACAGGATTCTGCTGTTCAATCCTGCTGCAATTCCAGACGAGTTAGACCAAGTCTGAAATCCAGTGCCAGGCGCTGCTGTGAGGTCCTCAAGCTGCGGGAGATGGTAATGTCCGCGTGACCCTCCTCCGGTCATCTGGGTCCTTACTCTGTGCTTACCCGAGTCGAAGTCAAGCTTGTTTATTTTGTTCCTGTTGTGGGTCCTATACAATTCCTGTTTATACTTACCTTGTTTACTGTTAATAAATCCTTGTTAGTTTACCTTTTCCATTGTCCTAGTCCTCGGGGAAGGCCTAATACCTCCTAACGACAGACGTGGGTTTGGGGACGGACCTGACAGCCAGCTTAGTTTAAAATCATTATTTTCCTGGCTAACACGGGGGTTCTGAAATTGTGGTTTGGGATCTCAAAATAGGTTGCAACCCCATTTTAATGGGGTCGCTAAGGGTAGTATTGGCCCTGGGCTCCAGAAAATTTCAAGCTCAAGTCCCACTGGCCAGGGCTATGGTTACATGCCTTGGCCTTCAGCTTGGCCTCTCCCTGCCAGGGGCACCAGGGCACAAGTGGGTTGGTCTTCACTTCCCCCTCTTGGGGTCAGGTAGTAAAATTTGTTGTCAGAAGGGGGTCATTGCACAATGACATTTGAGAACTGCTGCTCTAATAGCTTGCAGTTAACATATTAAATGATTAAATAGGGTTAATTATTGTATAACTTATTTATTTCCACTTTTTAAGCTTCTCTTTTAATTTTTCAAACCCATTTAAGAGCTTTACATGTCTAACACAAAAGTGGACTTTCTGGCTACATTTCCCTATTTTCTTTTAAAAGATGGAATTTTCAAACTAGAGAAAAAACATAGAAGAGCAAACAATTCAACAATTCAAAATGCAATGTACTCTGTAAGTATTTTTTTTTTAAATCTCCTGCTTTGAGTCTAAATATTTAGGCCATCCAAATACTACTTTGCTATGCTGCATCAGTAAAAAGGAGAACAGCAGCACTTTGCATTTATATAGATCCTATATTTCAAACCTTGAAGGATCTCAACATTCTTTGCACTGACATTTCAACCATTCACTAGTCTTCAGAGATCAGCTTGTTACCATGCAAGAAATCCCATTTCAAGGTCTGCTTTATGATTTACTTTGTGTAGGTTGGAGGGAGCATGCCTCACCTGAACTGATCTTTTGGCAAGTAAACAAAGAGCATGGATAACTTGCCATAATCATAGTTTATAACTTGCCATAATCATGGTAGTTAGCTCTGCCAAGGAGACAAGAGTTGCAATAGTGACTGGCAAGAGGCTAGGGTAACCACTCTCAGAATAAAAAGTACCACTCTCAGAATAAAAGGTAGCACTGGCTTAGAAATCAGATGCTTCTAAAAATACTTACACTATACAAACTAATATTAAATGATCACTCATTCACTTTTACCTGAAAAGCCCATCTTCATTAGGATCATATGTACCAGTTCTTTCACGTGTTGTTTATTATAGATGTCTGGAATTAGTAAAATGCACCTGTAATACTGAAGACAAAAGCAAATTAAGTGTATCTTTCAAATCAAATTACAGTTCAAAGCAATTCCTTTGTGTGTGCTAGAATGCTAGATGCCCCATGGTATGCTACTGATAGAATAGGGATGTAAAGACACTAAGAAGCTGAACTGGAAAAAGAGTACTGTGTGGAGAAAAACCCAAATCCATTTACTTTCACCATTTAAAAATTGAGTTCAATGTGTTATCAAATGTCTGTATTTTACAGGAGCTTACAAAATGTTTAAAGACATTTCATGCTATAGATGTTGCAGACACAAGAAAAGCCCCTTGTTCAATAAGGAAAATAAACAAGTTTAGCATGAGTGTGTTGTTGGTGATCTGTGATGTGTAGGAGGTCAGAGGAGATAATCTGGTGACCCCTTCCGACCTCAGACTATCTCCACACTGCATCACCCCACTTAAAAAATGAGGAGTACAGGATCTGTCGAAAAAGCTCCCTGCTGTCTGCATAACCGCGGCTACACAGCACTTTCACTTTAGAAATGGCGTGTGATCGGCACAGTGCTGGAACGTGAGTATGCCAATGAAGCCCAGGATATTTAAATCCCGGGCTCATTTGCACTTTCAAAGTGCTTTATCTGCATCCCTCTGCCGACAGAGGGATGCAGTCTGGAGGTAGCCTCAATGACTCTAGATCTCAGTCCCTTAAAAACTCTATCCAACCTATGAACACGGAACAATGAAGTTGAATTTTCAAAGATGATCTAACTTAAAGTTTCAGTACTGAATGCTGCCCTCAGATAAGAGCACAAAACTCCAAGTAAAGTCCATGGGAGCTATGCATGTTGGGGGACAGAATTTACTGGAAGACTGAGAGGGAACACAGTCAGCGGCAGGAGTAACATAACTTAGGTGGCTCTTCAGTTGACACTCACTGTAACCCTCTGGACAATGCAAGACAAACTTAAATAAGAGTCTTCAGATGTGGGTATAGTACAAACTTACTCAGCTGAGTAGAAAGTCACTAGTAGAGCTCACCTTTAAATCTTTCAGTGGTATTTCTAAGTATTTCTGTATTACATGCGACCAGATAATTTCAAGATCTGCTAGTACTGCAGTAAGGGAGCCACCAGGTCCTGAGTGAAGGTTTAATTGTCCTCTTCGAATAGGCCAATGAATATTATAACAGTCTAAAGGATTAACATACAACGCCTGAAGATAAATAAGAAAGAAAGGTTGAACATTAACAATTTTCTCTGTTCATTAGCAGATACAATAGTTTGCACACACACAATGCACAACGTGGCCCTGATCCAGGGTTAAGGATCCTACAAAACTACTGCAATACAAATAATATTTTTAAAAAAGTAACCTTTTTGCAAATGGAAATTAAAGACCATTCTAAATACAGCAAGGAGAGCATAAATGGACAATCTAATAAAGAATAGGGGAAAAATGGGTATGTAGTTCAAGATCTGAAACTAGAAACCACCTGAATAAGCATACCACTAGAAATATACTCATAGAGAGTTGGATAACCTAATTCAAGCATTAAACTATATTAGAGAGAAAAACATTGCACAAAAACATTGTGAAGCATTTAAGTAATCAATGTACCAATTATGTATTATAATTATGTGCTGATTTGGTCATTGACTTCTTGTCTCTTATGTAAACTATATACAGTTTGACAGAATCAACGAAAAAATGCTAATTTGTACACTAGCTGAGGATCTGACCTATAGTTTTTATTAATAACTAACTTAAAAATGGCTGGTATTAATCACGAAATGGGGGGAGGGGAGCGGAAAAAAGGTAGAAAAAGGATTTTTAAAAGAACAGTTTATTCTAACAACAAATAAGCACTTTTTCCAGGTGAGGGAATTTTCATGTTCTACTAAATGGTCATGTAGTCTCTTCAGGAGGATTTCCCCCTCCTAGCTAGAGATTTCATTATCATCTACTGTTTAGTATAATGACAAGTATCAGAGGGGTAACCATGTTAAGTCTATACGGTGCCACAGGACTTCTCGTTGTTTATACAGATTCAGACTAACAGATAATTCCATAAGCTTTCATGGGCAAAGACCCATTTTGACAGATGCATGTAGTAATATATGCCATCATGCGCCAGCAATGCCCCTCTGCCATATATGTTGGCCAAACTGGATAGTTTGCCCACAAAAGCTTATGCACCAATAAATCTGTTAGTCTATAAGGAGCCACAGGACTTCTCATTGTTTGTTTAGTATAACTTACCTTTTGATACATATTATATCAAATTGTGAATTTAAATATTTGCATAAATGGACAATACTAGCACCTTGTTTCAAAGGAAAAGTGAATTCCTACCTCTTCTCCTACCAGATACTCAGGATGAAGGGATGTATTTGTCCATTTGTTACCAGAGCTGTGATCTAGAATAGCCGGTCGCATCTGTCTGTTATATGATCGAGCCTGTAATGTAAATTAAGTCATGCATTACTAGGAAATAGTTTGCCAAGCCTCTTTTATGCACAAGTAGAAAAATATACTGAAGTCCCATTCTCAGGCTGCACTTTCTCTTCTGTATGGCCAACACACACCTGTTGCTTACTGCTGCATGAACTACTTTCATTTTACCCTGCAGAAGATATAAAATTGAACTGCTATATATAACAGAACAATTTAACAAACTATTATGAATGAGTTACCTGATCAGGTGACACCGGTATACGCCTTGCACCATTTGACATCTTTTTGGACCATATTGCTTGGTCCACCATTTTAAGGCCATTTTGTCTTTGCTCAGTACTTTCAGGTTTCTAAACAAAACAAAACAAAAATACAAATACATAGAGCATTTTATGCTCTCTTCAAATACTGAAGCTTACAGTGAAATATGTGCAATTCCTACAGCAATTAAATGAGAAGAGATTATGACAATTCAAGTACAATGAATGTACACCTTAAGCAAACTTCTGTTTCACAAGCCTAAGCACATAACTGGAGTCAAATGGAGTCTTTCCATTAACTTTAACAGATACTGGACTCGGTGGCCTATTAAATTCCACCAATATAAAATGACAAAAGTAACATGCTGTTCAGAAAATAAAATTTAAAAATATTTAAGATGCAAGATGCTAATTTGGTGAATTGATTTACATTAAATTCTTGAATTATAAATATTGTGTACATTTGAATTATTTAAACTTAATTCACTTGTTTAATCATATTGTTAGAAGAGATCATATTGACTAATAGCTTATAAATATTTCTGAAAGTTTGTGTGTGTGCATGCGTGCGTTTGTTCGTTCCGAAAAATCTCCGAAACAGTAACAGCTAGAAACACCAAATTTTGTGCGTGCGTTTGTTTGTTCCGAAAAATCTCCGAAACAGTAAGAGCTAGAAACACCAAATTTTGCACGGATACTACTGATTTCCTAACTTAAATAACTGGATTGGTTATATCTCAAAATCGGTTCCCCCAGTTCCGCTAGAGCCCCAATTGGGCCCAATGATAATTCCGAAAGATCTCGAAACGGTAAGAGCTAGAAACACCAAATTTTGAATGGACAGTACTGATTTCCTAACTTCAATAACTGGATTGGTTAGATCTCGAAATTGGTTCCCCCAGAGCCCCAATTGGGCCCACTGATAATTAGCTTTTAGTAGCACCTGATCATAGGCATGTGCTGAACTCTTCTGTTAAGCATGTCACATAAACTGAAACTATGAGATCCTAGAGGATAAAGCATGTGGGCACCTGCAGCACCATCAAGGGAAAGCCTATGGGGGAGATGCTGCAGTGGGGCAGAGAATCAGCAATCTCCCCTATACTAGGACACCAGGACAGAACCAAATGTGGCCGATGCTGGCTGGGGTATAGCCTTGCTAACTGTGGCTGGGAGAAACCTCCAGCTATCACAGCCCCTCAACATCTTCACACACTCAGTCTCCAACTGAACCCCTTCTGGAAATTAAAGTTGCTTCCCTCCCTCCACATCCAAACGAGCCATCCCACCACTTGCCCTCCTTTGGGCTGCGTGCGTTCTCCTGGCAGGGCTGTGCGTGTGTTATCAGCAAGTACCACAGGCATTATGCACTTTACAGGATCAGCTCACAGTACAAAGAGGAGGTGGGTAGGAAGACATGGTTTTGAGCATCGTGGAGCCTGAGGAGGACACGATACACTCAGAACAGCCTATTCTCATTAGAACAGGTACATTCAGGTGCTGCATGTTCTGATCATCTAGATATCACTAACTGCACCTGGTCTGAAGGTCTTTCACTTTGTCTGATCAATGCAATAGGTCCAGCTGCAGATAGGAAGTCCATTCAGGTTTCCCCATGGAGCGTGCACTGAAGGCACTCAGGGAGTGGCTACTTGGGGAGCAGTGATTTGCTGCTGCAGCAGAGCCCAGGAGACATCCCTTCAGGGCTTCTGGCAAGGAGGCTGCAGGCATTGGTTTGCATAGAGTCTTTAAGAGAAGATGGGCTTTCCCGATATGTGGAGATTGAGAAAAGAGGCTCTATGGGATTTGTCATTTTGTAAGCACATCACTAACTACGTTAATTTCTTAAAGTAATATATCAGAGAAAAGTATTTCAGATAAAATACGCTATGTTAATGTCATTGACGTAGTTCATTCATCATACCTTTTACTATATTTTCCCCGAGCGACACTAGGTATTTCTGCTAGTATTAAATAAATTACAAACGTCACTTGGAATCACAAAATCATAGGGACTGGAAAGGACTTTGAAGGGTAATCTAGTCCAGTCTCCTGCACACTCAGCAGGACGAAGTATTATCAGACCAAGGGTTTTCAAACTCTGGGTCACCACCAGCTGGCTGTGAGATGCTTTGTTTACCTGCGTCTCCGCAGATACGGACGATCACAGACCTCATTGGCTGTGTATCACCATTCCTGGCCAATAGGTGATGATGCGGGAAGCTATGTTGGGACCAGGAGCCTCCTGCTGACAATGACAGTCCCAGACCTGGGTATGGGACTGAGAGCTGCCTGCCTCAACGCTGGAGTCTGGGTTGCCGCCGCCGAGGCAACAGTGCCATCCCTGGGGCCAAGGATGTCACTTAGGGCATGTCTACAGTAGGAAATTATTTTAAAATAACTTATTTTGAAATAATAACTCCCAAAATAACTACTTTGAAATAGTATCAGAGGGGTAGCCGTGTTAGTCTGGGGTAGTTGAAGCAAAATGCAGGACAATGTAGCACTTTAAAGACTAACAAGATGGTTTATTAGATGATGAGCTTTCGTGGGCCAGACCCACTTCCTCAGATCAAATAGTGGAAGAAAGTAGTCACAACCATATATACCAAAGGATACAATTAATAAGCATTATTCTTGTGGAAAGCAGGAGTTATTATTAAAAAAAAAACAAAAACCCACCATCAAAAAAGAAAACACAGACTTGCTAATGTGGATGCTCTGCTTGTTATTTTGAAATAACTCTCTTATTTCAAAATAACTATTTTGAAATAGTGATAGAAATGTAGCCGTGTTAGTCTGGGGTAGTTGAAGCAAAATGCAGGACAATGTAGCACTTTAAAGACTAACAAGATGGTTTATTAGATGATGAGCTTTCGTGGGCCAGACCCACTTCCTCAGATCAAATAGTGGAAGAAAGTAGTCACAACCATATATACCAAAGGATACAATTAATAAGCATTATTCTTGTGGAAAGCAGGAGTTATTATTAAAAAAAAAACAAAAACCCACCATCAAAAAAGAAAACACAGACTTGCTAATGTGGATGCTCTGCTTGTTATTTTGAAATAACTCTCTTATTTCAAAATAACTATTTTGAAATAGTGATAGAAATGTAGCCGTGTTAGTCTGGGGTAGTTGAAGCAAAATGCAGGACAATGTAGCACTTTAAAGACTAACAAGATGGTTTATTAGATGATGAGCTTTCGTGGGCCAGACCCACTTCCTCAGATCAAATAGTGGAAGAAAGTAGTCACAACCATATATACCAAAGGATACAATTAATAAGCATTATTCTTGTGGAAAGCAGGAGTTATTATTAAAAAAAAAACAAAAACCCACCATCAAAAAAGAAAACACAGACTTGCTAATGTGGATGCTCTGCTTGTTATTTTGAAATAACTCTCTTATTTCAAAATAACTATTTTGAAATAGTGATAGAAATGTAGCCGTGTTAGTCTGGGGTAGTTGAAGCAAAATGCAGGACAATGTAGCACTTTAAAGACTAACAAGATGGTTTATTAGATGATGAGCTTTCGTGGGCCAGACCCACTTCCTCAGATCAAATAGTGGAAGAAAGTAGTCACAACCATATATACCAAAGGATACAATTAATAAGCATTATTCTTGTGGAAAGCAGGAGTTATTATTAAAAAAAAAACAAAAACCCACCATCAAAAAAGAAAACACAGACTTGCTAATGTGGATGCTCTGCTTGTTATTTTGAAATAACTCTCTTATTTCAAAATAACTATTTTGAAATAGTGATAGAAATGTAGCCGTGTTAGTCTGAATCTGCAAAAGTGAAGAAGGTTACTGTTTGTACTCTACTGAGCTTACCAGGATTGCATGGTTTATGTTATTTGCAGACCTCTACTTGTACTTAACACATTAAGTCTGCGTCTAGACTGGCAAGATTTTGCGCAAAAACGTGCCAGCTGTCTACACTGGCCCTCTTGCACAAGAATACTTGTGCAAGAGGGCCAGTGTAGACAGCTGGCACGTTTTTGCGCAAAATCTTGCCAGTCTAGACGCAGACTTAATGTGTTAAGTACAAGTAGAGGTCTGCAAATAACATAAACCATGCAATCCTGGTAAGCTCAGTAGAGTACAAACAGTAACCTTGATTACCATGACTACCAGTACTAACAAGTTCAATTAAATGCCTATTTCATGTTATGCTTTCTTTGTTGTTTAGTCACAATTTTTATGGATTTTTTCTTTCACTTTGCTGATTCAGTTTCAAACAATCATACTATGGTGTTTCTTCAGAAGGTGTGTTTGAGTTTAACATTAGGGAAAATGTCAAGCCTGTAATTCACAACCAAAAATAAATGAAAACAAAATTGGAAATAGTCAATTTTAGATGGCACTTACATTGAGTCCATCTCTTAAGAGCCAACTGTCTTTGTATACAGGCTGTCCTTGATGTTTCTGTCTTCTTGCTATGATGTGAGGAGTACTAACAGGAAGTGTATCAGTGGCTCTCCCAATTCTAAGAGTTGTTGATCCAGGATGTATCACAACAATGAAGTTGCTTTGTATTTGCTGGAAATATACAGTAGCATATTATACACGTCAATAAAAGCAGTCAATTTCTGCTGATAATTGCCGAATATCTTCCTGAATTTAAAGTCACTTCTCCTTGAGATACCACCCTCTACAAAAAAAATGCTAATAAATGTACAAAATAAATAAGGTTCTAGTAAATTCACAGCCATGAAAAACATGTCAAGGACAGTGAAATCTGGTCTTTTGTGTACTTACCTTATATAATGCAGATTTCACAGGAGACACAAGCTTTTCTCAAACTCGGGGTCCCAACCCAAAACGGAATTGCAAGGTTACTGTAGGGGAGTTGTGGTATTTCCATCCTTACTTCCACACTGCCTTTAGAGCTGGGTGGCCAGACAGTGATCCTGCTGGCCTAGGCTCTGCAGGCAGTTGGAATGTGAATGGCTAACTGGTTCTTAGGAGCAGCCCCCTGCCCATAACCTGACATGGGTGGAGGATGGTTCTGGTCCTGCTGGGCCCCCAAGCAGGTTCCCCAGCACACCCCACATGGCTGGGGCCAGGACAGCCAGCCCCTATGGCTGGCAACTGGGGCCAGAAGTCGGCAGCAAGCCCCACGCAAGGCTAGAGGTGAGAGCCCTGTGGGCTGGGAACTCTCCTGAGCAACCACACAAGCACACAGCTTACAGGGAACACCCTGCGAGGCAGGTGGAATGAGCTATATGAAAGGAGAGGGGGCTGGAGAAGGAACTTGCCTCCGAAAGGGAGAGGAGGCTGATGAGTTAAGGAGAGCAGGCTAAGGGAAGTGGGGGGAACCTGCCTTCCCAAGTGAAAAGGGGCTGGGGTAAACAAAAGGAAAGTGAGCCACTTGCAGTGGTTCCTGTAAGCTGTACACTTGAGTGGCAGCTCAGGAGACATTGAAATGCCACCCAGCTGATCAGAAGAGCACCCACAGCCAGGTGGTTGTTTCTACTGGTGGTAAACATTCGCACCTGCCTTGGTGCACAGACAAAATTTACTCCGCACATGGATGGGGAAAAAAATCCAGCACAGATGGAAAACGGTAGGGGGAGCATCGGTGACTTGCACCCGACAGAGAGAGGGGGTGAGGAGTCCTGTCTCTGTGCCCGTAACTCAACTGTACTCCACACGTGGAGGGGGAAAGTCAGGCACGGACGGAAACGGCTGGCGGGACCATTGGTGACTTGCACCCCTGACGGGGCGGGGGCAGAGGAACTAACGAGGCGAGTGGGATAAGGGAGAGGGCAACTGCACCCCGGGCGGGGCGGGGGGAGGAGGGGCCCCGAGCGGGCTGCGGGGGAGCTGCGACGGGTCGGGCGGTGTCACCCTCCCGCCGGGCCTCACCTCCTGCAGGGACT